AAAGCTTTTACTCATAAATGAATGCAGAGCAGGACTGGGCTTTCACAGTGAATTAAATTGTGAGAGAATGATCTCCCTGGGGTCAGAGGGGCTTAGCTGGTCTGCTATGCTGTGTTTTTCAGGAGCCACTGACATGAACTTCTGTCACATTGACATTGGAAACGTTGCGCTCTCCCCATGTAATCTGGAGTATTAAGTGATTTTTGACAGCTCCTGCGCAGTGTGGCAGGCAGCTGCAATGATGCGGAAGCAGGAGTCTGGGATAAGTCTACAGATGAAGCATTCTGACTTTACTCGAAAATGCATACTCATTGTGGGTCAGTGACTCAGAAAATTTTAAGAAAGAACTTTCACAGTTCTAATAATCGGCTAACTAATCGATTTTGAAAATAATCGTTAGCTGCAGCTCTACACAGTTCAGTCACCTAACACCCACAGTATATGTTGCTTTTTTATCCCATGATTCTGTGTGCAGCAGAAGCAAAGATCCAGACAGTGACAGCTCAGCCCCCCCATTCCTGACCACACTCTGCAAATGAGACAGGACTCTTGATTTACAGCACTTGTGTCAAGATTCCTGTGCGTCCCCAACATAAAATAAGGCCCCCTTTCAGTTCTAGTGCCTGTGCTGATTCCTGTGAGAGGGTACCCCTTTCCCTCTGCATTCCTGTAACCTTGATTGTGTCGGGAAAGTGCAGAGACTGTGAGATAAGAGCTATCACTCAAGAGGCCCATCTCCTTTGCAGAGCGAAGTCAGGGTGTGCTATCACCATATGGTTCTCAGTGTCTACTGCATACAGAAGCATGGGATAAAATGTGACATATACTGTGTGAGTTAGGTGACTTGAGTTGTGAAAATAATACAGTGAGATCTCTTCTTTAAAGGAGAACTATGGATGTAGCTCTCAAGAATCACTGTCAATCATCAGTGGGGAGGATCCCGTCCGATACGTCGGGATGTCTTCTCATTGCGGCGCTTAGCCCCGCCCACCACCTAAAATAAGGTTTTACAGCCTTCCTGTGCATTTTGGCTAATTACAGTAAATTACATTATTTACTTATTTAGCCTAAGGAATGCATTCATAAAAAAAAGATAGAACCCCAAAGTTCTCCTTTAATGTCAGGGGCAGTCAGGAAACTAGCATTTTTTAAAAAGGATGCGTCGGCAATGGTAGCCTGCATTTTCCCATCCGTACAGGTTTCCTTTAATGTGTGTATTTTTTGTTTAGCTCTTTCAAGTACACATTACATGGTTTTAATTCCTTCCTTCAGTCTTTATTGTATGTTTTGTGCTTTTAAAATACACATTTCTTCCAACAGTCTTTCTTGCTCTAACAGGTGGTGGGAACCTCTCCTCATTTATTTTTCTTTTTTTACAGGCTAGAGGTATACTATAATTCTAGGCTGCATTGTGTCAGTTTGCTGTTTGATGCATCACCATATTCTTTATATAAATTAAAACATTTTTATCAGCATTTATCTGTATAGATGTGTCTTTTTGTGTTCTACCACAATAAGTGATGCTAAACTCCATTCATGTACCTTAACTATTAACAAAAATGTATCTTATTTGTGTATCACTCGGCTGTAGATCCTCAAATCATCTCTGAATTGGTGCTGACACTGTCCTTCCTTCTGGAGGGTGGCTACTTTTGTTCCCCATGGACCCTGTGTGTTGTAAAGTAGTCACCGTTCTAAGCTCACTCCCGTGATGCACTACAATCTCAATACAAATTAATAAACTATATTATCACAGGAGTGATCAGGGAGCGATGGCTACTTTACAACACACACAGGGACCATGGGGAACAAATGTAGCCAACCTCCAGAAGGAAGGACAGTGTCAGCACCAATTCAGAGAGGATTTGAGGATCTACAGCTAAGTGATACACAAATAAGATACATTTTTGTTAATAGTTGAGGTACTTGAATACATTTGAAGATTTAACTCCTGAGCTTAGTGTCACTATAATAGAAAATATTAACTGGGCCAATGTGTGTGATTTTTTTCCTCCCTTTATTACAGAAGGGTAATCTGTCAGTGGCCCACATAGGACTGTGGTCACAAACATAAGGAAAGAAAGAAAATAAACAGAGTGATGACTTGGGCCTGGTTTGTTGTCACAGGAAACAACAAACTATTTTTATCTATAATATTATTTAGTTAAATCCAGCTGGACCCAGTGGCGTAATTACCAGCATAGCGACCCGTGCAGTCGCTATGGGGCCCGGGACAGAGGGGGGCCCAGTCAGGAGGCCAGGGCACAGCAGCAGGGGTGGAAGAGGCTGGGGCCCAGCAGCACCTCCGGTGTAGAGGTGGATGAGGTGGAGGCCGGGGTCCAGCAGCGGACGGCTCGTGGCTGACAGGTTAGAGGAGAACAGTATGCAGGGAAAGTGACTCTGACCAGCCCACCTTAGACCATGCATAGAGAGAGTCTATGGTGGGCTCTGCAGGGTCACTCTCAGGTGGGCTGAGCGGGGTCTCAGGTAGGCTATGCAGGGTCTTTGGAATGTGTGGGGTCTCAGGTGGGCTCTGCGGAGTCTATGGTGGGCTCTGCAGGGTCACTCTAAGGTGGGCTGTGTGGTGTTTCAGGTAAGCTCTGATGGATCCCAGGTATGTGCTGGGTCTCTGGTGGGCTATGTGGAGTCTATGAGGGGTGTCAGATGGGCTCTGCAGGGTCTCTGGTAAACTGTGCTTGGTCTATGGTGGGCTCTGCAGCAGTGAGCGGTGGAGTGATATGTTCTTCAGACTTGTTGTCAGAGCCAGCAGGAGCAGAGCTGAAGAGCAGACGATGCAGGCACGGGAACGTGGTCTGGAGGTAGGTACTTTTTGGGTGGGGCCCCATACAAGATTTTGCTATGGGGCGCTGTGATTTCTAGTTACGCCCCTGGCTGAACATATGTAATTTAAAATACAGCCGAAACCTTTTTCATGCAGAGAAATATAAAACAAAAGTTATAAAGGCAGTGGCGTGTCTTATTTCATTTATAAAATTAGTTTTTTTTAAAATGTCAGTGACGTAAAAATATAGATAAGTCCTGAGTTCACCTTATTCTAGACACCCTATATATCTGACACTCCTCATAGACTCCGCATAGCCAACCAGAGACCCAGCACATACCTGGGATTCTCAGATTTTCTTGCTTACAGAACCATTTTAACTCCTCACTTTGACATTCCATTGAGGATAATGCATGAATGTAAATAGATTCAGATGAGGATTAAACAATAATGCAGCTCAAAGTGCTAATGTCACATTCCATGTTAATCTTTTCTTCTTGATGATAATCTTGCTACTGGATTGTCCTCAAACACTCCACTCACCTGACAAGTCCCTGTCCTCTGGATATCACTCAATCTCTTCATAGTGAATGAAGAGAGTGAGTGAGCAGTGAGCTCCTGATATCCACTCGGAGCAATATTTTGTTCTAGCTATGTCCCCAAGATCTCATGACTGGTTTTAGACAATCAGGAGCCACTTACTGTCAACAAAATGACATGCACTTACAATTGTTATATATTAAAATAGTGTAACAAACTGTGCTTGTGTAGCAGGAACACAGCAAGCAACAGTCTCTGATTGTACATCACGATTGATGCCAACTAATTCACAGCATGATTATGGAGCACAGGTGGCATGACGTTGCACAGGGAAAATAAAGAGAACAAACTCTTTAAATTGAGGAATGAGAAGGAGAAATGTCAATGATCTGTCTCAGAAGACACCAATTAAGTGATCTACACAAAGCAGTCAAGAATAATAATATATAATGGAAAAGAAGTAAGAAAAGAAAATCAGTTGATTAAAGATCATATTAGATATGCTTTTAATGTACCTTTGCAACAGGTTTAGTGGATAGGCATTAAAAAATTATCCCCTAAACACCGTTGTGCTTTATAAAGGTGCAGTATTTTTTTTTGTAAGGCAGTATTATGGTCTTAGTATGGCCATACCACTGCTTTTTTAAAGGATCTCTGATTTAGTAAAATTATCACTGCTGAAATTGCAAATTGCTTGTATAAACAATCAAAATTATATAACTGTTGAAAAAAATTACCACCAAAAGAAAGGGTTTGTTTGTCCACAAAAATAACGTCTAACTCGCCATATGTAATACTCATGTGTATGTTATGTCATAAAGGAGAAACGCAGCATTTTGCAAGTGCAATTGCAGTAAATTAAAGTTTGCTGGAATCTGTAGGGTTAAAAACATTGGAGAGGGAAATATTCCCATAAAATCTTTGGTCAAAAGAATTGTGAAAACCGTGCTTTGTGTATCTTAAGAGTAACTGAGCTATAAGATGCGAAGACAAAACGGGAGCGGTTGCTTGTTGTTCTGACTAAGAATATATCTCTCTAGTCTTCCTGTGCAGTATCATGCCAAATGTGCTCCACAGTTGTGCTGTGAACGGCTTGCATGCAGCATGATATGTACCGTCGGGGACAGCTGGTGCATGTGCCTGCTACACAGGGTGTTCTCTTGCAATTTCAATTTGTTATATTGTTTGGGTGAGACCTGTAACCAAGAAGATTAGGATATTTGATCGTTGAACTTGGTTATCTATAGGTTAGCAACAATAATATATAATATAACTTAAAAGACGGAATGGAAAGTGCTCCTGTCTTTTATGATTTTTCCTGACTACTGCGGTAATGAAGGTACAGCCAGATACAGTAACCTAGTTCTTGTTTTACTTATATTTTATATTTCTCTTTTTAATGTGTAGACATTACTTGATATGGCCTAAAAAGTGCCTAACAGCTGGTGGTGCCATTGAGTACCCCTAAGTACCTGTGTTCTTCAATCGGCATTGTGGAGCATCATGTAGCCTAAGCCCAGGAAATACACAGAGCCCCTTGAGTTCTTTCAATGTGTAGGTTAAGCCCTGCCCTAACATTTATAGGTCATCTACCAGAGCCTCAGTTCTTACCCTATGGCTGCCATAGTGGAGGGTAGTAGGCACATGAATAAAGTGTTGTACAACACTTCCTTCATATTATGGTATCTACAGCAGATTTATGTAGTGAACATCTGGGTTAGAAAGCCCTACGTTTGCTTACATTGGAACAGTGCATTCATTTCCATTGTTACCCTGGTCTCTAAACAGCTCTGTGAAAGTGGGATGCATTTATTCTCTAATAGTATGGTTAATGGATTCCTGCCTGACAGCCATCAGGCACAGGTCTAATAGAGCTAATTTATAAATGTAAAGGGCAGAAGAAACTAATTTGTCTGTGAAGCAGATGAGATTACAATGGCAAATCACCAAAACCCACCTAGATACATCTAGTGGAAATTTCAGTTTTTGTGCTATCAAAACATGAATTGAAGGTACAGTTACTGAAAATGTTATTTCTATGTCATGTGACACAGCTACTCGATTTCTGCAGTTTGATTTCAGGTTCAGTAATAAGACCTGTATTGTATCCATTTTTTCCCCCCAAGAAACCAGCCTTGTTGCCCTATCATTTGAGATTCATATCTCCAAGAGTAAGTCCTGTAGCCCCATCATTTGGCTTACATACCTTCAATAGTAAGTCCCATAGCTCTATCATCTAGCTGTCATACCTCCAAGTGTAAGTCCAATAAACCCATCATTTGGTTGTCCTACCTCCAGGAGTAAGAACCCATTCTCTGGAACAAGAGTGTGAAATAAAGAAGACCTCTCTGTTGCTGTTGGCAACTCAGAAACGTTCTTTCTGCCAGTTTTTCCGTTGTTCAGTTGTTCCAGTGTATACATAATGAGGAAAGCATTCTTCAGGTGTGGAGGAAATAGTGACATAATCACCATTTGAACCAGCAGAACATATAATTATTACTTATTTTATTTACAGAAGGGAAACATTCAGTGCTGCTTGGCAGAACGATGTGGAGCAGGTTTATGTCAAGCTAAAACAATGTCAGCCTGGTACAAAGCCAAACCCTGTGCAGCGTTTTCCCATTTGTAATAAAGCTCAGTGGGACTATTTACTGTAGCAATGCCAGGTTGTCTTTATATAACAAGCTCCAAGCATGAGACTGTAGCCAGAAGGGATAGGTAACTGCTTACCACAAACCTGATGTTTAGAAGTGCGTTGTAGGTAAATTGTTCTGTTGGCCATAGTGACCAGTTATCTTCCAAATTAAAGCAAGAAAGCCGCGTAGCTTTCATACATCAGGCCTTTTTTAGCATTACACTCTTAGGGGTTCTTTCATGTGACTACTTTTGTATTGATTGTGTTGGGATTAACTTTACTAAGCATTCTCTCATCCATTGTGGCATGATCTTTTAGGTGGAAGGGCTTTTGGTGGAATGGGTTTCACATTTCTTGAAATAGTTTTTACTGTGAAACCTAACAAATATTCCTCTTGTCTTACTAGAACGAGCATTCAGCCTTCCTGAACAGTCAAGAGAAAAAAGGTATTTCAATATCTGTGCTCTGTATATATTTTGTGTGAAAAAATTATTAAAGTGATCCAAAGGTGTAACAGCAAACCTTTCGTCCCTCCACCTTTCTGCCTTTAAATAAAATATGATAAAAGAACTGCTGGAATGCTTGCCAGTCTTGGAGAAAAAGCAGCTGTGGAACCCATGGCGGCCTGATTTCTGCAGAAGCAATATTGAGCGTTCAGATTGGCTAATCATCCACTTAAGAATGCCTAGGCATTTGGTTATGTGACCACTTGCAAGGGGTTCCAGGGAATTTTATAGAGGTTTTTTTTAGCATATTTATGTGACATTTTAACCCCCCCACACAACCATACACATACACCCTTATTATGCTGAATCACTCTCCAAAGCAAGTGTAAAGATAAGGACCTCTGACTTGTATGAATGTTTGTTCCAGATCAGTGATTTAAACTATTAGTCAGTCAAGTCAACACTACAGCCAGGTAACTATCACTTTTAGATTGGCAGTGCAACCTCTGTCTTTCTAACGTTTACTATAGCTTTTTCCTCTTATGCCAATTTCTTTTTTTCTTCTTAAATTTTGGCTCATTTGCTTGTTTGAAGAGAAGAGCATTGAATGTTGGCACTAGTTCTTTACTTCATTACAGTATCCTGGTAAAATCTCTATTGCCAGATTAGAAAGACTTCTCTGTATTTTTGTGTCTAGCCGCAAGTCCTGACATAACCTGCTGTTCTTAGTGGGAAGAAGCCAAGTAAGACTTTTATATAGGCAGCTTATTTTTCCCCCTCTCTTTTGATTTTTCAAATTTCTCCTGTTCATTTCACCGTAATTTACCTGGGTGTGTCTGATGTGATGTTCTCTTCTCTGAACATACCTATGTTAATTGTTGCTTATGTGAGAGCAGCCAGTGACAAAGATATTGTGTGACTCTTTCCGCTAATAGAGCAGATAAAATACCTATATTGAGTTACCTATATTGAGTTATAGGCTTATTGATTGCTACATTTCTGATACATCCTCCTAGTGTCAATATAAACCTGATTATAATGTTTTAAACAAAATCATTTAGGAAGAAATGCAGCCTTATTCACTAAGACAGTTCATTGATCAGTAATAATATGTAGTTTACTAGCGAAAGGTCGGTTCTGATTGGTTGCTGGAGTCATTGCATATTGCTGTTTGCTTTACTCAATAAGCTAATAGTTTAAATCGGGCATCTAGTGGTAGTGCTCTGTAAGCAGATGAGTGGGTGGTACTCTAGCCCATAATAGCCTAAATTAGCGAATTTTACTTTTTTGTTTGTGTTTTTACTGTACAAGTCTTCCTTTTCTTTCCTTATTTTTCTTTATTTTTGATTTTCCTTTTATAATTTATTGTTTCAGTGATCGCTTTTTAGAGGTTTGTCTTTTATTTTCTAATTTAAAAAATCTTTAGGGATTTTAACTATAGAAAACTACATATAATACAGTGCTGAAACTCTCTCCCAAATCTAAGATCCTCAGTGCTTCACTCCTACCTAAACGGTTTAAAAAGGAGAATAGTAATAACTGTATCCAATCGCATAACATAAACCCTTTGTCTTATAAAAAGTTTAAGGAACAACAATATACTGTAATCAGCACCAACCAAATAAATTTGTTCCACTACTCTAAGCTGTCTGTAGCTAATTTTAATTGTTTGTTATGGATTAGGTTTACTGTACAGAAGTGCACTTTGTGTGGTACTCCCAAAGTCCTAATATGTCCTTCACTGTTTGTTTCCATTTATATACCAAAAAATGAGCCTGACCACAAATCTTTCTTGGTATTTTCCATTGTATGACTGATGAATAGAAGTGACTTAAGTACAAAGGTATTTCTTACATAATGGGAATTCCAGAAATATTAGTCATGGACGATAACAATACAGATGTTTATTGTGGTGTCAAATATAGGATATAATCATAATGTGACAAGCCATTCCTGCTTGAGTTATATCATAGCCTAGCTGGACCATGTAAAGCTGTGTGACTTGCTGCATGAAAGTTGCCCTGCCATGATTTTGCTACTATAGTAGGGCTTGAAAGATGCATTTGTATTACTAAAAAAATCGTCCTGGGTTTAATTCTGGCTAAAGGAGTCTACATTCCTGACATGACTGTCTCCACTGGGTGGTTTGTAGCGATGGGCCGAACACTTTTGAGTTCGAACTTTTAACCAGTTGACATCCGCGGTGTTAAACCCCCTTCCCATCCAGGCCATTTTTCAGTATTCAGCGCTGCGGTTCTTTGACTGACATTCCGTCATGCAACGCTGTACTGAAATGAATTTTATACCCTTTTTTGGGGACAGATAGAGCTTTCTTTTGGTGGTATTTTTTTACCACCTGGGGTTTTTATTTAAATACCTTTTTTAACCTCTTGCCGTTCCCTTAAACTGCCTGTAAAGTGCCACATCTGTACAATGTATAGAACCTGCTGCAGCAAAAATGACATTTATAAAGAACAAAATGACATTGATAAAGAAAAAAAACAAAAGCGTGCAGTTCCCCCTCCCAAACAATACCAGGGTTCTTGTTGGAAAGTTAGGAGGGACCACATTTGAAAAAAGAAAGGAAAAAAAAAGCGTGGGGTTTCCCCTAAAAGTCAAACCAGGCACTTAAGGTCTGGTAGGAATTTTAATGAGGAACCCCACCCCCAAAAATTAGGGAAAAGAAAGACGTGGGCCCCCCCCCTAAAATTCCCAACCAGACCCTTGAGATGAGCACAGGTCTGGAAAGGGAGGGGGGGGGGGGGGGGGGGGGGGAGATTGAGCGCCTCCCGCCATACCAGGCCACATGCGCTCAGCACTGGGAGGGTGATTTTTCAGAGTCAAACAACAAGCCCAACAACAGTGGTTTGTAGTCTGATCTGGAAATAATCCAATGTCTACAGTTAGTACACAGAAAACCTTGCCTGATTGGTATTATTTTCTTGGAGCTGGGATGGTCTGTGTGTAGCTCACCCTAGCTATCTATTACCTAACATAGAAATGGTGTGACTAGAATAATTCTGTGTAGAGTGAAAATGACCCAGGAGACATCATGAAACCTTTGGATTGGATCATGTGACCATTCTACGATATTTATGGCCAGGTTAAGGCATTAGCTGTATTGTATTGGTGTTCTGTCTATTGGAATTTGTATGGACTTCCTAGATGTTCTTTGGTTACCAATTCAAGAGTGTGAGAGGTAATATGTGTGTTTGAGTGAGAGTGTAGCTGTCCATAGGTAGGCAAATTCTGGGAAGAATGGACAAAAAATCAATGAACATGAACTTGGCCACATTCTAGTTACAAAAATGTGTATTGATGACAGATAAAATGGGTAATATGTTTCAAAATGGCTTTCAATTTTTGGAAAGTCATTCTCTGCATTCAATTCTTTTTTGTTTAAATTCAGTCTGAAAGATATTGACTACTGTGTACAGTGCAAAGACTTAGAATGACCAAATACCCTTAAGTTATGACATTTTTAAACCACAGTAATATGTTTCTGTCGCTCATGGCCACCTGTGTGGGTTTGCTGGTGTATGTGTTTACTTGGTCACCTTTTATGTCTACCAGAACATTAACTACAATGTTATTTCTACAGGATTGAAGAGGAGGAATGGGACAGATACATGACGCCTACAAAACCTGAAGCTGAGAAAAACAAAGTGAGCCGTACCTTCAGCTTCCTGCGGAGCAGGATGAGCAGTACTAGGAATAAAACCAAGGTGAACACTGCCCTCTGGTGTTAGTTGGGTCATAAGTGCAAATACACCTCTACTAAACAAAAGTGACTTATTGACATTTTTATGCAAACATGCATATAATTGAATGCCACACATATTTAGCTTTAAAGCAGTGTTTGCTAATTTAGAGCACCCATCCCTAGTCAGTCGGTGGCGGTGTAGCCTACTACATAGTTTGGTTAGCATGTGATATACTACATAACTAATGACTAATAGCTAGTTTGTTTTCCCTATTATTACATTATTTTCTACCAGGATTTCTCTTGTGACCTGGCAGGTAATTGGCTTCCCTTCCAAATGGGTTTTGGTTCTTGAGCCACTGCTTTGTTGCCTTGGCGGTATGTTTTGGGTCATTGGCATGCTGAAAGACCCATCCACGACCTATCTTCAGTGTTCTGGCTGAGGGTAGGAGGTTCTCATCCAAGATTATACAATACATGGCCCCGTCCTTTGGCCCGCCAATGCGGCAAAGTCGGCTTGTACCTTTAGCAGAGACACAGCCCCAAAGCATAATGCTTCCACCTCTGTGATTGACTGTAGGAATGGTGTTTTTAGAGTCATAGTCAGCATTTTTCTTCCTACAAACATGGCAAGTTGAGTTAATGCCAAAGAGCTAAATTTTGGTCTCATCTGACCGCAGGACTTTCTCCCAATCCTTCTCTGAATCATTTAGATGTTCACTGGCAAACCTCAGACGAGCCTGCACATGTGCCTTCTTGAGGAGGGGGACCTTGCGGGTGCTGCAGGATCTCAATCCATGGTGGTGTATTGTGTTACCAATGGCTTGTTTGGTGACTGTGGTCCCAACTGCCTTGAGATCATTCACAAGCTCCTCCGGTGTATTTCACTTTTCTCATGATCATCCTTACCCCACGAGGCGAAATCTTGCATGGAGCTCCAGTTCGAGGGCTGGATTTTTAGTTGATATTCTGTCTCTATCATTTAAAATACACCTATGATAAAAATTATAGACCTTTCATTTCTTTGTAAGTGGGCAAACTTACAAAATCTGCAGGGGATCAAGTAATTTGCCTCACTGTGAATGGGCACCAATATTTCCTGTGGGCAGGGACATAACCAGTTTACAGCAAGATGGCAGCACACAAGGAATCTCCTCCAAATATATCTTTATTTCATACGTTAAGGTCCATAAAAGCAGCACCGTTTACGTTTTTCAGCTCTACTAGGCCTTAATCATGGCAAAGGGGTGTAACTAGAACTCACAGGGCCCCATATCAAACTTTATGGGGCTCCTTCACTAAACAGGAAAAAAAAGTGCAATTAAACTACAGCCTAATACAGTAATTTGGCACAGGCCGTAAACTATGGCATATATGTTTTCTTACACTGGTGGCCAGAAGGGCATAGTATGTTCCCTTGAAATAATGGTTAATATGAGGAAGGATGGTACTTTCCATTGGTGGTCAGTAGGAGGAAGAATGCACCTTACACAGGGGGGTCACTAGATGGAAGAATGCTCCTTTATGTGGGTGGTCAGTAGGAGTAAGAATGCCCCCTTTACGTTTATGGTCAGTAGAAGGATAAATGCACCTTTACATGGGTGGTCAATAGAAGGAAGAATACGCCTGTACATGGGTAGTCAGTAGAATGAGCATTGCTCCCTTGAGTTGGTGGTTATTAGGAGAAAGAATTCTCCCCTTTGGGGGAGTCAGTAGATGGAATAATGCTCCCTTTTGTGAGGGGTCAGTAAGAGTAAGAATGCCCCCTTACCTTGTTGGTCAGTTAAAGGATGAACTTCATGTTACATGGGTGGTCAATAGAACAAAGAATGCTCCTGTACATGGATGGTCAGTAGGAGGAAGAATGCTCCCTTATGTCGTGGAAAGTAGAAGGAAGAATGCCCCTGTACATAGGTGGTCAGTAGGAAGAATACTCCCTTATATTGGTGGTCAGCAGAAGGAAGGATGCCTCTTTACATTTGTGGTCTGTAGAAAGAAGAATGCTCCCTTACATGTTGAGTCAGTATGAGAAAGAATGGCCCTTTAAATTTGTGGTCAATAGAAGGAAGAATGCTCCCATACGTGGGTGGTCATTAGGAGTAAGTAGGCTGGCAGGGCAAAATCTCCAGCGAAAGGATTACAGTGCAGAGCAGAATAAATACTTGTTTGCATCCACAGCTCTGTGTCGCTTTCTTGCTGGCATGATTTTTAATTAGTAAAAGAGCAGTGGAACACTCATCTTGACAGGGAGGGAGCTTGGTGAGTATTTGCTCTGATCTGCATAGTGATCCTGTTCCTGCAGAGTTGTCACCAGTGGACAGTATTGCTGGTATGACCTAGCTCTTAAGACACACAACGTTTACACACACACACACTAAAAATTAACTAAAACACACATACGCACTATTAACACACAGTTTAGACACAGAACATGGATTCCCAAGAACTTATCAGGACCTACATTACTATTTTCAGGAGGAAATCAAGGCAAAATGTTTTCATTGTATGCTTAGGCCCAATTAACCTCTCTTTATATTTGAGATAATAGAACTTTACTTTTTGAGCGTAGGTCTGCTTTAAGAAAGGGTTTAAAGTGGTGAGGCTCAGGAAATGCAGACCTGTCTCCCAAACATAGCAGTCTATGCTGCCAAAATTATAATAGACCATATTTAGAAAAATTTTAAAATGTTTCTTCTTTTGACAAATGTTTCCTTGTAAAAATTAGACTTGCCTTGAAAGGAATATTTTTACCGCCACCTGAAAAGGTCTAGTTTATTAAGACATATTGGGTTATTTATCTACATTATGCTGGCTGGTAGACTGTTATTTAATTTGTATATTCCTTTTATTTTTCTGTGTAAGATGTTACATTTGGTCATAACATTTTACAGGGAAATTATATTAAAAATAACCGTGTTATAGACCTCATGAGAGATGAATCTAATTTGTTTATTGTCTATAATTACAAGCATTAGACCATAATAACATTTCAGTTAATGTGATATGACTCTGCAACATGATTATACTGTGATGTTGTCTAGAGGCTGTCATAATTGCTGTTATCAATGCTATAGTTCTGTTATTTATATAAGATGTATATATTTATATAGTGACTTCATCTTCTGATCTTCTAGCTCTGTACAAAATAAGGTCTGAATCGACAAAGTTAGGGCTGAAACACACTTTTGCGATGCAGTGCATAGCGGTAAAGTGCTCGGTAACACGTTACATGGGCTATCACTAGTGATGAGGCTGGGCTTAGTGCAAACCCAGTTTGCCTGAGTTCACCCAAGCCCACTTAAAACTCTGACTGCCACCCCTCTTCCGAACTGAGTCCGGGTCGGCAGTTACAATGGAGGCATTCCCTGCCACTTTGTGACATATAGCTGCGGGGCAGGGAATGTTCCTCCCCGCAACTGATTGGGCTAGGAGTTAGGGTGGCGGTCAAAGTTTTCAGTGGATTTGGGCGAACTTAGGTGAACGGGGTCCAGCCTCATCACTAGTTACCATGTTGCAGTGCCATTTCTTTTAAAGACAGTGCAGCCTTGAGGTCCATGCATTGCAGCACACCAAGACGTATTGTAATGGCCTACTGTGAGTTATGGTGCACTTTGGCAGAAACAATGCTACATGTCCATTTTTGGTCTATTCATGTGGGTTGGGAAGCAGTTGTAAAATAATGGGTGTCTGTATTGCAATGCACATTAATGTGTGACACAACGCATGTTAATGTGTGTATTCTATGTGTGCATGTCCATTTATTTTCCCTGGTGTCTTTAGAGCACGGACACGCAAACCTTAAATAAGTTTGTAGTATGCTCTTTTACAAATTAATAAACCATAGATGTGATGTGTACATGCATTTCAATCCCCTCTTCTACATACTTTGTTCATGAAAGGGCTGTAAAATGGTTTTATGTATATGTTCTTAAGTATGGTCAGGCCAAACAACTTAAAAAGAAAGTTTGTCAGGTAACATCATGCATCAATCATTCTCAGGTGGAGCTTTAGTCTCCTTTTTATGTTTTCCAGTCTGTTTCTTATATCCTGCTGATTAAAACATATTTACAGAGCTCAGCAGCTCAAACTTAAATTTACACACACAACTAAATGCGTTTTAAGCAGTGTCTCATCCCTGGTCTTACCCTCTGTATGACTCCATCTAAGTTTTCAGCAAGAAACCTGATTTTTTTCAGATGGCCCATGAGGGTCAGATTATATAAAAAAAAAGTGTTACATTTGCCCATTTGTTCTGTGTGAATTAACCAGTTGTTGTGAGAATGTGACTAGATTGAATGTTCATAGTGTGTTTTCTCCTCTGGTCGAATGTTCTTGTACTCACTGCTCTGACAAACTGTGCAGTGTCAGGCTGCATGGATCTTCAGAGAAGGTAGTGTATTTACTTTTTCTGTTTTTAAATATTGCTTCTATCTTCCAAAGGTAATAATCAGCACCAGTCTATGGGATTATTATTTACAGCATTTCTGAGTAATGTTTCCACAACACAGTAATACCAGTGTTATTGGAATTGAGAGGACAATTTATAATATACTAGTGCTTATTTCATGTGCAAGTAAGCGCAATCACCAGAGGATTTATATTATTTATACTGTAATCTTAAATAACATTTAAACCTAAAAGCATAAAATAATATATTGCAGGTTACCAGCCCTTAGATGTGGTGGCTGCATTAGTTTTCTTTTTTAGGCTTTTTTCCCTTTATTTTCACCTAGTGATCCGACTAGTAAGTCTGTTATTTCTCAACTTCCTTTAACCGACCAAGCTGCCCAGTAAAAGTGGCAGATAGAGGGTTGAGACAAACCATTTACACTGACAGGGGTGCGTAGAATGGTCAGCTTTTATTTGTATATGTAAAACCTTTATGCCAGAAGGATAAAAACTGTTTCTGATACAAATTAAAAAGTATAAGCTGGGGTTTGGATTTAATTGGCTAGTCTAATCCATCTAAATCTGTCCACGCAATTTTCACTCGCCAATTGCGAGGGGGCGAGTGGAAATTTTGAGCCCTGTGCTAGTCCATCTAATACTACTCTGTACCCAGTTTGACAATGCTTCTGTCCAAGGGTGACTCTGTTGCTCCTCCACAGAGTGGAGCCACCCTAAGACTGGTGGTGAGTTAGTGGCCACATCACAAGGTGATAATAAAGGGGAAAAACACCAAAAATAGGTAAGCTGCAAATATTCAATTTAAATTTTTGGGTTTAGATACTCTTTTTAAGGACATTCAATAAGAAGAGAAAATTAGATCTTTCCACATTCTCACAACAACTGGTTACCTCACACAGAGTAAATGTATATGCAGTTTCTCTGGACAGATGGGTATGTATTATTTTTTTTTAAATAAATCGAAATTATAGTGTTTTGTCATTAATTGTCAAAAATGTTGTATGTATACACTACCGGTCACTTCCATACTATTTGTTTTATGGCAAAAAATGTATTTTCATCCATGGCTTTTTTATTGCAGAGATAATTTTGGGTGTAATACATAATAAATGATGTCTGTTTAGTGCATTACATTTTGCTGTGGTTAATTTCATGTTCTGCTGTTCATTGCTTGTACCCTTTTGTCTTTCATATCTCGATTCTATTGAAGGCCAAAACAAAGGATACAAAGGAGAAGGTGAATCGCCACCAGTTTGCACTGGGTACATACTCTGGTGTAGTTCCTTGTTTAGTATGCGAGAAAGCTCTCCTGGGGAAAGAGTCCTTTCAATGTTCAAGTAAGTAACAGTGCTTGAGATATTGTACCTTCCATTCATGTAATAACAATGACCCAAAAGTGATATTCAGTTATATGTGGACACTGAGAGGCTGTATCACTAAATGGCTTCAAAAGTTTTATCATAGATGTGAGATAACAAGTCTCAATTCCAGGTAGGCTTTGGTGAGCACCATGCAGATGTTTTTCTGATGTCTTCTGGTCAGTCATATAACGTGCTAGGTTCTCTTCCTCTTTAGTATTCTTGTGACAGTGGGTGGTCCTGAGTGATGCAGTGAGTGCAGGACGCTGTGCTATGAGGATAGAGCTATAGCGCCTGCACTCAGTCTTTCCTCAGTCTTTGGATTGAATGATGAATGAAGACTGAGACCATCTTGTGTTGAAGAAGTACTCTAGATTGAAAGTGAGCATTGCAGTCAGAGATGTTTCTTGTGTAACGTCTAGGGAGACATAAAAAAAATAACACGAGGTTAGGTTTTATCTGTCGGTCAAGTGCAATGAGAAAGGCAGAAAATGTTTTGTACCTACTGGAGAAGGTGAGGGGGGTATGTTTGCACGTCAGATTTTGATCTCAGATCAGTCAACAAATCCATATCGACCGCTTTGTAGTTTGAGAATCCACCAGACTAAATATAAGTTTAAAGTGACATTAAACCCAAGGAGTTAATTATTTAACATGTATTCAAATACCCTATTAACAAAAATTTATCTTATTTGTGTATCACTCGGCTGTAGATCATCAAATCATCTCTGAATTGGTGCTGACACTGTCCTTCCTTCTGGAGGGTGACTACTTTTGTTTCCCATGTTACCTGTGTGTGTTGTACAGTGGCCACTGCTCCAAACTTGCTCCCATGGTGGACTACAATCTCAATACAAATTAGTAACCTAAATGTGAGATTGTAGTACAACATGGGAGCGAGCTTGGTACAGTGACTAATTCTGAGGATCTACAGCCGAGTGATTCACAAATAAGATACATTTTTGTTAATAGTTAAGGTACTTAAATGCATTTTAAAGATTTCATTCCTGAGTTTAATGTTACGTTAATAGGGACTGGTGATCAAAACATAACTGGATATTTCCTTCTATGGCTTCCCACAGTAGTTTTGCCTTTTCGTGATCTAGTCATCATTGTCCTGTTTATACTCATTTAATTGGGGTTTTGTTTCTTTTCAGATTGTAATGTGAATGTGCACAAGGCATGCAAGGATTCTGCTCCAGCATGTACAAAGGTGATATAAATAAATGACTTGTATGTTACCTTTTACATCTCAGTATGTTGTAATGATTGATGGGGACCCATGTGGATGTCACCTTGATTCTGACTGCACATCTTGGTGAGTCACTGGCCTGGAACCAGCATACATTATAGGGATTCTGATTTTTTCAGATTTCACTGGCCATATGCTTGCTCCAAGTCACTGACTCATTTGGTTGTTAAACTCTGTGTAGGATCTCATAGCATTTATTGCTGCATCCGGCTCATGAGACGCGTTTAGTATGTGCCTAGCCTTCCAAACACTCCATGGTTGAGGCATGGTGCGGCACCTTTTCATCTCTGGCTCATGACTTATGTTCTATCCTGACAACACAAAGCATAGAGAACAATTGAGTTTACAAATGTAAATATTTGCAGATCACAAGCTCACAAATCACGCACTTGCTATTAGAACTTTTTTTTTTACTTGACATTTTAAAATGCATCAGTCATTAAATTAAGAGGATGATATGACATGGCGTCATTGCTGCTCTTGCCTTTAACAAGCTACTAGACAAAATGATGAGCCATTCATTTTCATTTTGTTTCTTCTAACAGAAATTTCAGGACCGGTACAACACAAAACACAAATCGGCAGTCATTTCGAGTAAGTAGATTTACAATTATAACATTCATTCTTGCTTTTCAGTACATTAAAGGAGCTGACTTTTTTGATGGGTGCAAAATTATGTTGCAGCCTTTGAGCAAGGGAAATACCCCACTGTTGCTACATGGTAAAGTCAAAATCACGTGGAAAGTTAACATTTTATTTAAAGAAGCCAACATTTGTAGGGTTATTGAGCCTGTTCATTTCAGGTTAAAGCAAAAAATTCATATAAATATATTTCTCATAAGTCATATAAATATATTCCTCATTAGCCGCAAAGGATATCAATTGCAAACCTAAATATTACCTTGTAAAAGTAATGTTGACACTATCATCATGATGCACACAGCCTGTGCAGAGAGCAGAGCTGTGGGAGGGGCCCAGCAGGTCACACACTCTACGGGCTGCCTGCAGAAAGCCCCCAAGGGGTAGGGACAAGGCCAGTCACCCTGCACAAGGAGAGAAAGCAGGGGTGGCTTGTCTTTTATTACTAGAAACCTCTGCACAAAGGCAACATATAGGAGATGTTTCATGCTAGATTACCATATATGCCTGGAGGGGCACCAAAATTGAAATATGAATACACATGGTTCTTATTTATTTGTCTGGATTTCAGCTTTAACATATACACATTATATAGGAATATAACAAGCTCACACATTGCCCATCCTAGACATCCAATTCATATTGCCACCATCATAGCCTCAGTTTATTAGTATCTCGAATTGAATTTGAAAAGCAAGGTGGGCCATTAACCGATTTCTTTGTATATACCTTTTAGATTGATCTTCACATACATCTATTGTAAAGATATAACAGCCATCTACCTATTGTTGTAACACTTCACAACTCAAGTGGGGCTATTGCTGCTTTAGATTGTAAGCTCTCACGAGCAGAGGTCCCTCCTAACCATCTTGTCTTGAATTGTACTGTAACTATACTCTTTTCCTTTATAATATAAAGTGTTGTGCAAACTGTTGGTGCTATATAAATCCTGTATAATAATAATAATAATAATAATAATAATAATAATGTGCCACATTTTCAGTGAGTGCTGAATTGCATTTATAGGAAACACATGCTTATTTTGTCTGTTTTATGACAGTATGTTAAATATCTTTACAAAAGTTGTATGTGAAGATGAACCTACAAGGTAATACACTATTCAAGCTATCCACTGTGTATTTATTCACATGTCGGCTAGAACTATGAGGTGAGTGGAAATCACTCATCTCATAGTTCTCCTTTAAAAAAGCCGGGTATACACGGTACAAATTTCGACCAGTTCCCGATGGACCGTCCAAAATTCGCATAGTGGGTGCCACTGTCGGCACCTTTCCTCCTGGCATATTCTGACAGGCCACTGTCAAAATACAATGCAAATAGCAGGGAATCATCCATCAGTGCTTGTAAGTGTTGATGGAGGAATTTGTTATAGTTTCTTCATTCAGCCCGCAGGTTGAACAAAGAAAATATAAGCGCGTATACCCGGCTTAAGTGATCAGGCTTCTTTTAGAATGAGAACATGGTTGGATTGGAGGACATATATCAAGCAAATTAGCAATTTTTTATTAATTTATTTTCTTCTTTTTCCTTGAACCTCTAATGTTCATGTAGATAAAAATTATTTGGACACTATACATTGCGTATTGCCTATAATTATTGTACAAATATGTCTAAACTTTGCCATATTAATATTGTACCATGCGTGGTAACTATATTCTCATTATCCTAATCTATATTTCCTGTATTTACTAGTTTCTTGGTTATTTACCTTTCAGTGGAATAAAATTATGTAGCTTCAGATTATTGGTATTGTTGATCTTCTAGAAAGCATGCCGTATAGAATGGTGGGGCTAGCTGAACACATACTGTGCAAAACAGCACGATTGAGCCCTCCAGAATCTACTCATAGCTCAAATATCAGTTTTGGCCGGACGTTTAAATAGCTGTGAATCATTGTCTGTTGGTAGTTTATTGTTCATAAAACTTTAAAGGGATGCAGAATTAGATTCATGTGGAAGCCATATTCCATTATGCATCTGCAGAGGAGGCACACACATTGTTTTCTTTACTAATGCAATGTTATTTATGATAATATTGTTTCTTCACCGTTAACAGATTCCTCATTCAAGGATGTTCCCCAGCCGGTTCCTTCAGCAATGCCTCCTGCAACTTCTGTGTCTGTTGGTGGAAAGAAAGATACAGCGCAGTCATTCCATCCCTTGCCCAGGAGTGTGCCTGTGCCAACCATAGACAGGTCTGTCATACTGATGTTATAAAGTATTGCACATTAGTAAAAATAAGGATTAACTCGGAGCAAATGAAAAAATACAGCTTTTGATCACAGAAATGTATCAGGTATCGGTTCCACACCTTGCACTTATTAGTGTCAAAAAGCTGTATGCAAGTTGGACCTCATAACACTAAATTTAACCCGTATCTGTATAGATCAGTGGTTCATAATGTGCAGTTGGCTAATTGGGCATATAGGAAAGGTTTGCATAGCATAACCCACTATGCTAAAATAAGGAATAAACATATTTGATAGGGGTGTGGAAATGAATGATTAATCCGTCGATTAATCGTTAATTTCTTTGTTCGATCAAAATTATTTTGATCGATCAAAGTACTCACCTCTCCACCGGCTTCCGACTCCTCCCCCCCTCCCCGAGTGGCTCTGTCGGCTAACAAAGGGAAGGGGGGGAGGAGTCGGGTGATGTAGTTGTCCGTGATGGGTAACAAAGGGAAGGAGGGAGGAGTCCGTTGACGTCGATGTCCGTGACGTCACCGGACTCCTCCCCCTTCCCTTCGTTACCTCAGCTGCAAGGACCCAGCAGCAGCCACCTGATACAGAGACCCGCCTCGATGTTCCCGGCCGCTGTCCCCCCACGCTGGTATGTTTTTTTTACAGCACCCTGCTCAAGCTATAGAACATGGAATAGAATATGGCTGAAACTGACTATATTCTATTCCATGTTCTATAATGTCATTGTACTACTAGGAAACTACAAGTCGGCAGTTCAGCTGCGACTTGTAGTTCCCTGTATGATAGAAGGCTGTTTTAATTACTGTCCTCATGAAAGTACTAGTAATACAAAGTCATTATAGAAACATTGAATAGAATATAGTTGAGTTCAAAAGTTACTGTACTATAATGGCATTGTATTTTCATGAGGAAAGTAATTAAAATAGCCTTCTATCATACAGGGAACTACAAGTCCCAGCATGCACTCACTGTCCCTGTACAACTCTCACATATCACGCAGGGAACTACTGCAGGGGGCTTGCATGCTGGAACTTGTAGTTCCCTGGGTGATTTATGTGGGGGACGGTGTACAAAGACCATAAGGGCATGCTGGGACATGTAGTTCCCTGGGTGATGTGGAGAGGTGTACAGGGGCAATGAAGGCATGCTGGTTGTAGTTGAACTGCAAGTCCCAGCATGCCTTCATTCTTATATCCCAGGGTCGCAGGCACTGGTGTTCTGCTACTTGGGGGTTGGGGGAAGTCTCCTGGTTCATGAGTGCATCGGATGTGAAAACCAAAGAGAGAAACAAGAGGGCGCAAAACTAGGTAGCTGACTGCCTGGACCGAACATATCAGGGAAGGTGACAGAACAATAAATATATAAATGTATAATGTACTTACTTATGTGGGTCTGGGAACCAGATGTGAACCGGCCTGTGAGGAGGATCAGGATGTCCAGAATGTATGTTGAATGGCGGCTGATATATTGCCTGAGGCTGCCGCCATTCAAACAGCCCACCTGAGGGTGACCCTGCAGAGCCAACCATAGACTCTCTATGGTGAGCTCTGCAGGGTCTCAGGTGGGCGGTCAAGCCCTCTTACCTGTGAGGAGGTACGTGACCGCTGCACATGTGAATGGCTGCGTGTTTCTCCTCACAGCCGCCAGTGACTGCCAGCAGCCTGAAATGCCATAGCGACCCAGGCGGCCCGCACGGCATCAGGGGGATGTCTTGACTGGGCCCCACTGTGGCCCGGGGGCCCCATAGCGGTCGCCTGGGTCGCTATGGTGATTGTTACACTACTGCTTCCATCAATCGGAACCATATCTCAAAGGTGTTGCTTGGATAAAGTACCTTTTAAATGAAAATATAGTTACGAGGATCACGTATTAAATAAGAAATTCAAACTTTTGAAGGATTTACTGCAGCTCAATTTAGAATTTGTGAAATCCGTTTCATAGACTTTAAAGGATTTGATTCACACCTGTGCGTCACTAAATCTAGCCAATGCACTTTGAGGAATGTTGAGGATCCCATTAGAATGTATAGAAGCACTTGTCAACGCACGTTTTAAAACAGAGTGTGCAAAAACACATCAACATGTGCAAAAGTGCACATCCTCATGCGGCGCAACAGCAATGCATGTTGCAATGCATATTGGGGGCCTAGTCACACCTATACCCATTCTACCACATTAATTTATCCTCATTCACCAATAAAGCATGTGTACAGTATTCACATAGGTGTAAAAGAAACCTTAAGGTAGCCATACACTGCTTGCATTTCAACCAATTACTCTGAATTGTCCAAAATTTGAGCTGTGGGCACCACATGGCTCAACAAAATAAACATTTTCACTCACCTTTTTATTTGAAGACTTTGGGTGGAAACTGGTAGGTCAAACAATGACTGATCCAATCAGATGCAGTCACTATTTAGGTGTATGGCTGATGAGTATAATTTCTGGCAGGGAAGATTCCTCCATCCAGGCAGTGGAAATCTAAAGGTGTATGGCTAGATTTAGGCTCAACTTCTGTAATAGAGCACTTCATTCTGAAAGCTGTTAGTCATTGTGCAGAAACTCCATAGAGAAAAAGCTTTAGGATGGTGTTTTGATTTAAAACAAGCGGTCTTTCTTTTTACATTTTATAAAACTTTGAACACAGATCCTGTCATTGAGGTCTTAATGGTTGATGTAGTTATTAATTTGTAACCATCTCAGAGATTTGAACTATGGCAGCATTTTCTACTATATGCTCAAAGAAACGCTAACCCTGTACTTTTTTTAATATCTAGGAGATTAGATCAGACATTGGAATCTGATGGTGACACAAGTGGCTCTAGATCCAGGTCACAGTCGGATGAGCTGTTACAAACATTGGGGACTCCTCCGTCGATGGATGCTTTTCCTATTGAAGGTTGACTTACAGATATTCTTAGCAATTGATTTTAGCATGTGCTCTTTAATTGTTCTGTCAGTGTTTTGTTTTTACATGATCATTCATCATAGCTGTTTTTAGAACTTGCACAAATTCCATTTAGTCCATTGTATATTAATTGAACAAATGGAGCAATACGCTTTCAAATGGTTAGCATTCCTGCCGTGCAGCTTTGAGGTTCTGTATTCAGTTTCCACCAGGTATATTATCTGCATACATCTATATTTCCTAATGTGCTTGTGTGAGTCTTCTCTAGGCATTTTAGTTTCTCCCACCATGAAAAAGACATTGGCTTCCAGTATTTATATAGTGCTCACATAATTTACAGCACTTTACAAAATACTCAGGTTCACTGACATCAAGTCATGTCCTCAAAGGACCTCACATTCAACCTCATTCACTGAAGACAATTTGGTAGGATACCATTTAGCCAGCCATTATGTCTTTGGATGTTGTGAGTAAACTAAAGCACCTAGAGGAAACACAAAGGAAGAACATAAAGGGTATACATTTCCCATGTTAATAGTGTGGTTACATGTTCCAGTTTTTATAGTTAGCCCATTAGTAATTAGTGTAAAGCAGCCTGATTACAATGGAGCTGACAGTGTCCTCTGTCATTGGCCTCTGAGTATTATTATTACCTTTTTGATAAATCTCACTTATTGAACAGCATGTCATGAAGTGCATTCGCATTAAAGGAGAACTATGGGGTCAGTGCTTTTCCCCATAGTTCTCCCCAGGGTCACGGGAGGACACAAACTAGCGTCCTCCCGCCACCCAAAGCTCAGTATACCGCGAGCTACAGCTTGTGGTATACTGAGACCTCCGCAGCAGGGACGGATCCCGACATTACTGTCGAGATCCACCTAGCTGCGTGATTGACAGCTGGCTCTGCCTATCTAGAGGCAGAGCCAGCTGTACCCGTCCCCTCCCCCATCCGTTCCGCCAGCCAGCGCTGAAGGATCAGGGAGGGGGGGAATCCCCTGCAGGGAGCCGTGAGTGACAGTCAGTCGAGAAGTGAGTGAGCGACGTATGTGTTCGCTCACTTCCCGATCTATTGTGCCGACGTGTGACAGTTTCATTGTCACATGTCGGATCGAACTATGAGGCTGAGTGATTTTCACTCGCCTCATAGTTCTCCTTTATTATCTTCCTCTCAGTAGAGGTTGTATGGTCACTCTTGAGAACATTTAGGTAAAGCCACTTAATCTAACTGTAAAGGTTTGGTATGCTGTAGAAGTTCCATGGATGCTCAGTGATGGCATTCAGGCTCCATGAAGCTGGTCTCCAAGTCACACACAAGCCAAGATGCAAGTAGAAGTAACACAAATGTAAAATGACTGCAGAGGCCTGAATGGCCCATATAAAGTGGGTGACTGTATGTCATTATTTTGCCCAGATGTTGTGGATGCAGCCTTATGGAGTGACTTTAGCAGTGACGCTCTGGAGTTCGAAGCAGAGTCATGGAGTTTAGTTGTGGATTCCAACTTCTGCAATAAACAAGAAAAAGATGTGATTAAAAGACAAGATGTTATTTACGGTGAGTAGATTTGTAAAAGCACAGACCTGCAACAGTTTATTGTGATAGTCACACAAGCCTTGTGTTTTTAAACAAGTGAGCTGCAGGTTTTTTTTCTTTACTGCTATGAGGTGGTGGATTTTATTGTGGGTTGAAGTGGGGTGTAAGTTTAGTTTCTCACATTTTTTGAGAAAGTGAACGTATCCTTTAAATAAGATCAGCAGCTCTAAGATACAAAAAAAAAGTATGAAAAAATTCTAAGACAGTATTTTATGAAAAAAACAAAACAGGGCAATTGTTTATCATACGCAGTGCTTGAGCCAACTAAATGCCATCCAGGTAGGGTTTAGACCGACTCTGTTTAAAGTATCTAAATCCAAACATTTTTGTTGCTGTATGTATAGAGTGGTGAGATGTTAAAACCCTTGTCATTTCTTTAACACTAACAGAAAGTGATAGGGATCCCAATTTTTATGATGGTTACTGGCCCAGTGGGGTAAACCTGTTCCAGTGACAGCTATGAATGAGATAAAAAACCCCCCCCAAAAATAAGGTTTTCACTAACACTTTGTCCTTCTAATGTATTGGACATTTGGGGGAAAAAACCTACTAATGGAAATTCTCCAAACTGCACATTGGTCAAGCAGAGATTTAAGGGAGCAGTGGTTCTCAACCTGTGTAACCTCCAGGCCCACATTTGTCCTTAAGTTGCTACCCAAGTCGCACTGCAATGGAACGCACCGGATTACTGTACTGCGCATTCCAGTGCAGGCGATTGAACTTTGGGCGGGAGGTGTGTTTGGGGTGCCATTCAAATAAATGCCAATGCAATGCACCTCCCAGACCAGAACACGAGGTAGGTGCTATTGCATGGTACAGTGCGATAATCACATGGGACTGTTCGATTAATTCACTGCACTAGTGTGAACGGGTCCTCAAAAACACTGACACGCACAACCACAGACACAATCTCACACACTCACAGACATGCTCAACCACACATACACACTCCAAAAAAATGTAATTTTTTAAATTTTTCTTAAGATCCACCCGGTCTCCCTACCTTACGAGAACTGGAGTGGATCCTCAGCCTGGGGTCCAGTGTGGGCTGCTGAGCTGTGACAGAGCTCCATCCATATGTGCATTGCTTGTACAGCTCCCTTGAATGCCCTGTAGAGGTGCCGGAAGTCAGAATGTGATGTCATTCCAGTCCAGGCACCTCTACAAGACATGCGAGGGAGCTGTAAGCAATGCACGTATAGATGGAGCTCCATTGCGGCCATTGCCCCAGCCCACCCCACCCCACCCCACCTAAAGCGGACACTCGACACAGAGTACCATATTTTAAATGGCTGCTTGGCACAAGAACTGACAATGCTGCACTAGGGGGAGGCTGAGGAGCCTCTAACCTAGAAAAGTGGACGGCACACAGCGACCCACTGAACACAGGGTCGCGACCCACTTTTGGGTCATGACCCACCAGTTGAGAACCAAAGGTGTAGAGAGATCATTTAACTGGCAGATGGTCAAAGGGGAGAAAGTATAATTCTGGTTGTGCAATCCTTCTATACATTTTGTTTGGGGTAAATATTTTTAAATCATTATTTTGACTGAGTGGGTGGTTTCTGGCAAGCACAATGAGAGCTTTTATAGCCCTACAGAAATTTATACCTCCAAACTTTCTGAGATGAGAAAGAGGGACACCTTCTAGCACAATGTATGTAGACAATGGACACCTCTGCCACTCCATCAGTTATGTGGACCATTAAGAATTTTTATGCCAAAAATGATTGGATTGGACCTAATATTGTTTTTCTTTTTCATTATTATGTTTCCTTTATATTGGCTTTTCAAAATAGCAAAAACGTTAATTAATTGATCAGATAAAGGTTTTAGTGCAGAATAAGATTTTTGATAGTTAAATAGTACATTTTCATAAATATCTGTACATCAGATCAATAAGAAGGACAACAGAGAATGAAAGAGGGACAGAAGGAATTGTTTCCAAATGAGAGACAGTCTGTCACGATACTGTGCATGGGTGTCCCCACATGGCATGCAGGTATCTATACGGGAGGACCAAATGTGTGACCACACCAGACAATGCTTATGAGGTTATGAACTTGCAGTTTATTAGACACACTGAAATCAAGTAAACACAAGCAACCCCAACAACACCCACAAGTAACAAGTAATAGCCAACTAAAATTCAGACAGCAAATCACATGCAGAACGTAACCGGGCAAGTGAACCTGGGGAGCAGGGCAACAAGAGGGGAGCCACGGATCAATAGTCAGGGTTCAAGGAGGCTACAGGAAACAGGATACAGGTTAAGGCAACAATACTGTGGCACCAGCCTTACTGCAGGGAGGGATTAAGGCCTTGTTCACACCAAATGCAGAGCAGTTCTGCATGAGTTTCTGCACACGCAGTGCAGTGGGTTGTGCCGCGTTTTTGCTGCATTTTTAATGCGCTCCGGGCCGTTTCTGGTTAAAAAAAAATAAATGTAAATGGGCTTTCAGTGCGTTCCAGGCATTTGCATGCGTTTTTTAAGCGTTTGCATGCGTTCCAGAGCAGGTAAAATAGGGCCTTCTGCAGTTTTTTAACCTGCTCTGGATCTGAACGCTGCGATGTGAACTGGAGCTAAAGATACCATTGGAATACATTGGACGCAGTTTTGCTCCGGTCTGTAACTGCTCTGCTCTGCATCTGCTCCGCGCTTGGTGTGAACAAGGCCTTAATACCCTCCCAGATCAGCACCAGGTGGTGACTAATTGCTGACACCTGCAGGTGAGCCCTGGAACTGCAGGATCTGCTCCAGCGCCACCTGGAGGTGTTCTGGACCCTGACACAGTCCTCCAAATGAGGGACAGTTGGGAGGTATGGAAATTCATTTTTTAAAAACTTTTGCTGCAATTAGCTTTAGTATGGGGCTCACCTAACTGCAAGTGATAGACGGTAATACATGGCAACTTTTCTATTTCATTTAATTATAAATTTGACCCATTAAGCTGTTCCTGTGCTAGATTGGTTAAGGAAATCCATTTTTCCACACTCTCCAGGGTTGGTTCCTGTTTATGTTCATCAAAAGTCATTTTCAGAGCCTATTCAGCAGTGTTTACAGTTCTTTGTCAAATGATTTCTTTCCATTGAAGGAATGTAAACAGAAGATTGCAGAGTTTCTAAGCTTTTACCTTCAGATAATCGTCTGGAGACCAAAACAGGAAATCCTGAGTCCTGATAGAAGAGGTTCTGTGAAGGTCAAGCACAGTCCAGTGCCATTGGCATGTCTGCAATTTCCCCGGCCTATCTGAAGGCCGTTTTGTGGGACTTGCTCAGACTGAGTGCATAGATGTTAGTCAAGATATTAATTTGCCTAAAATATATATCTAGACTTTGGGCTGTCAAACATGTCTCGAGATACAAACGATGCACCTAGGTCGGACATGTCTTACAAGTATCATGCCATATAGTGTTTCCATAAAAATAAATAATGACGCATTTGTCTAGGGAAACTGTAATGGTCTTGGGCCTTTTGTTTTGTTTTTTAGTCATTAAACTGATGTTTTATATCTGTTTTTTTACTATATACATTGATTAATTTATAAAGAAACCTTTAATACATGACAAAGGATTTATAGAGCATCATTGGTTATCTATACAAACAGTATAGCAGTTGCAGCTTGCCTCAATATTGGCTTTCTCTGATTGAAACCCTAAGATGGAGCTGTACAATTAGGGATGAGTCATTCTCATTAGCTGGAGTTAATAAGCTCTGTAAACTTACTTTTTGCTACAGAGGACCTGGGGGATGAGCAGTATCTAAAAAAAACATGAAAAGAAAACTAGAGCTCCGCCTTCTGGCTCAAAGTGAGAATACAAAATATTAATATGCATTTTTTTGAATTTAACTGACTTTTTTGAGTCCTGACCATAATAAACAAAAAAAAATCTACATACATACAAAACTATACATTTCATTTTAATCCATACATCAATCCATACATCTCAAAGTATCACCCTAAACGTCCCCTCCGCTCATCCATTGACCTCCTGCTTTCCAGCTCCCTTGTCCACTCCTCCCATACTCGCCTCCAGGACTTCTCTAGAGTCTCTCCCATCCTCTGGAACTCCTTACCCCAACCTGTCCGTCTATCTCCCACCTTGACTGCCTTTAGGCGTTCCCTAAAGACTCATCTCTTCAGGGAAGCCTATCCCACCTCAACCTAACCACTGAACCTTCACATTCTCACATAATTCATTCCCACAGCTACCTCATGTATCATTTCCCCCTCCTCTTTTAGATTGTAAGCCCTCAGGGGCAGGGCCCTCCTTACCATCTTGTCTTGAATTGTATTGTAACTGTAATGTCTTCCTTATATTGTAAAGCGCTGCGCAAACTGTTGGCGCTATATAAATACTATGTAATAATAATAATAATAATAATCAAAGTATGTCTTTGCAAGCATTGATCATTCTCTTTTGTATGGAGCTAATAAAAGAAGAAATGAGTGGCTGTGTGCTGCATCCACCCACTGACTGAGTTAGGGAGGAGGTTGCAGCGTGACTCGTATCACTTACTCGAGAGAAAGGCCCAATTACACACTCCCCATCGCTTTTGATAGAGCATCTGTTCATCTCTGGAAGAGCCTAAAGCCTGCCATGGGCGTAATGGGGGTTGCCATTACCATTCTTCTTGCTAGTTCCCTGTCATGCCAGCTCCCCAACTTCAGAGCTTTCTAAATGACTGGCTTAGAGCAAGTATACAGATCAGGAGTGTTGACTCTTCTTGCCCGCATTCTTCCCTGGTTAGGGGATAGTATTTTAAAACATCACTTTTGTGTGCTTTACATCTTTCTGTATATATTCAAGTCATGGAATCTTGTAAGTGACTTCTTGGGTTTTTTTTTTTTTTGGAGTCTCTCTTTATCAATATAGATGGCTGTACCTGCAGAGAATGTTCATGTCTCTATACCCCACCAAGGCTCCCTGGCTGAGCCTGATGAGAAAAAAAATAATTAGTGAGGATTTATTTTCATTCCTCCCCTCTTCATAGGTACACATGTGCAAGTTTGCCTAATGCAAACATGCATGTTTGTACAACGATTATTTATGAGAACTGGAACAGGTCCTTTATGTATGGTCGCCATCCAAAGTCTTTAGGTACCTTAAAGCATCTCTGTCAGTCTGTCAAGAAAAAACTAAACCGCAGCTCCTTTCACCAGAAGCTTTATTATACTCACCTGTCAGGTAGCCCATGTGTCCTGCCTTTCCTCAGTGCTGCAGCCTCTGTCTTGCTGCTTGTTGTAGTTCCGCCAACCCCTGTGTCATTACAGAACACAATCTTGAAGTAGGGCTATAACTCTTGCTGCAACAATAGAATGTATTCATTTCCCAAACTAAGGCCTATTCATACAATTGCATTACAGTGTTGTGCAGCAAAGCATGTTACTTTTGTTTGAGTTATGTTATGTCCATTTATTGTGAATGACACCCCAGCAAACCTTGGTGTATTGTTGTTCTTGGTGTATTTCCCTTAATGCCATGCACATCAATGCACGTGCACAAACACACCTCAGTGGTGTAAATGGGCCCTTAAAGTGTGTGTTGTGTGTGTGTGATTTTTTTATGTAACAATGAAACACCCTGGCTCGTCACGTTTCAGTGAATGATTGCACAGTTTTGGTAGACCTCTACATGGCTGAAAACAAACATATATTTTACAAAAAGTCTCATTGGCAAATTGTACATTGTGTTTTAATTACACTCAGCAAATAACCTTTTATGACTCCTTCACACCATCTGATTACAGTAACACATTGTACCACATTGTAAGTGTGTTGGCGTGCTTCAGTACTAATCATTTTGAATGCCCCCCGCCCCAACACACCTCCACAACTCAACTGCTTTGCAACAAAAGCATCCTGCACTACATTGGCTTGTGTTGTGCATTGGTACCTATTTATTTGGAAACTATGATGCGCTGCAACACTCCTCAACCCACAAGAAACATGTACGTTGTGGCGCACAGCATTGTAGTGTGAATGTAGTGAGAACAGACCCTCCAGCATTTTGATCCTCCAGGCTAAAATATCAGCTTTATTTAATCTGCAAGGGAAGCTGGTCTTTAAGATATCAACATTGACCAAATTGATCCTCCAGTCCAACAATCATTTTCAAAAGATTGTTTGAAAGTGCCCAATTTATTATCATTTATTGTAATGTATATTGCCAAGATTACAGTAGGATTGTAGAACCTATGTACAACTCCCTATAGATTTACCAGCGGTTGTCTACTTCAGGAGCCTACCTGAACAACCCATTCAGTTTAAATCCATTCAGGTCAGCCATCACCTACCCTTGTTACACGGAATGTGTTGTATACAGCAGATATACAACAGATTTATTCATCAATCAATTTGTACAGAAACTCTTTTTTTTTTTTTGTTTGCTAATGAGTCTGTTTGGTAATGTAATCATCATAAAATTATGTTAATGTGATTATATGAGAAAGTCTATAAACATAGGTCACAACATGTTTGGGGAAGTAAGCCTTTTCATTTTCCAGATATTCAATTTTCCATCACCTACGCACGAGGTTGCTTACATTTTGTCATGCAGTTTAGAATGTGGCATGTGATGAGCAGTGTAGGGATGCCTTTTGTGAGCAAGAACAAGCGCAATGATCCTTGTGAGTTTGTTCAAATATATCTGTAGAGGCTGCTGAAAAGCAATTAGGCATTGCTGGGTTTTTATCGGAATGCCCAGCATGCTTTGCAAATACATTGGGTGTATCCTGTGATATATATTTGTTAAAGATTTTATAGAACTCGTATAATATATAAACCATCCATTTATAAACATTTAAGCCTTTTACGTTTTAAAACATTTTGAATAAAGCTTGCTATTTCCAGATATCAACATAATATATCCCCAAACCTCCCTCTGCTCCTCTAGAGCATGTCCTGGTGTTATTTTTTATTTACCTTGTCCATGTTGTATAACTGTTATACTTCCTGTGACAAGTAACTCCACGCTTAAGACATTCTTGCAGCAGGGCCAGCTACCTTGAGCTTAGTTTGATTGACATATATATGCTCCCCAGAACTACACTTTTCGGGAACCCTGTCCCCACACACAGTGACCGGTAGACACGGACAAGTGCATATTTCAGCAACTGCTGATCTACTCGGATTTTCACGCTCAACCATCTCTACAGTTTACAAAGAATGGTCTGAAAAAGAGAAAATATCCAGTGAGTGGCAGTTCTCTAGGTAAAAATGCCTTGTTGATGCCAGAGGTCAGAGGAGAATGGCCAGACAGGTTCAAGCTGATAGAAAGACAACAGTAACTCAAATAACCACTTGTTACAACCGAGGTACGCAGAAGAGCATCTCTAAATGCCCAACACATTGAATTTTGTAGATAATGGGCTACAGCAGCAGAAGACCACACCAGGCGCCTCTCCCTTCAGCTGAGAACAGGAAACTGGATGGATCCATACTGCTCTTGTATCGGTTGAGGCTGCTGGTGGTGGTGTAATGGTGTGGGGGATATTTTCCTATCACACTTTGGGCCCCTTAGTACCAATCAAGCATTGTTTAAATGGCATAGCCTACTTAAGCAAGTATTGTTGCTGAACATGTCCATCCCTTTATGAGCACAGTGTACCCATCTTTTGATGGCTACTTCCAGCAGGATAACGCACCATGTCACAAAATTAAAATCATCTCCAACTGGTTTCTTGAAACATAATCAGTTCACTGTACTCAAATGGCCTCCAAGGTCACTGGATCTGAATGCAATAGAGCACCTTTGGAATGTGGTGGAATAAAAGATTCATATAATGGATGTGCAGCCAACAAATCTGCAGCAACTGCATGATGCTATCATGTCAATATGGACCAAAATCTTTAAAGAATGTTTCCAGCACCTTGTTGAATCCAACCTATGATTAATTAATGCAGTTCTGACGATAGAACTTGGTGCAAGGTGTACCCACTAAAGTGGACAGTGAGTGTACACTGAGTGGCCAGTTTATTATGACCACCTGACGTTTGTAGGCAGATTAGCTATAATTAGCTATAATTTCGCTCTGACGTTGCTAGAGGGCCAGACCATTATAAATAGGGAAGCAGGTTGTTAACCACGACAGTAGAAGTGATTTTTTTCTGAAGATATGGGTAAACAACGCGATTTAACAGCCTTTGAACGTGGGATGATTGTTGGCGCTCTGAGCCATGGAGCGAGTATCAGCAAAACAGCAGAATTCGTTAAATGTTCAAGAGCAGCTGTTAAAGTGTTTAAAGACTGGACTGTCAGCCGAAAATCTGGGTCTGAACGTGCAAATTGTGGCCGTCAGCAACTAGTCAATGTTAGGGCAGAACGGAGAGTGGCAAGACTGGTACAAGACAACAGAAGGGCAACAGTGCAGTGTCAGATTCCTCGCATCACCTTTCAACATCTCGTGGAGTCATCTCGTGGCCCAACGAAGTACTGATGGGGTGGTCATAATAATCTGGCCACCCAGTGTTTATCAATGTATGCTGGTGGAGAGGAACAGACAGGGGTTGGAGTATAGGCGCACAGTTCTCTCTATTAGGTAGGCCTGGAAACCCTTCCTGTGATTTCAGCGCAACAGTGGCACAGGGATTGGTTAACTAAAGGGAAATAGCCTGTTCCCTTTGCAAGTTACTCGCTGAATGAGGTGAAACTCTGCGGGTTTCCATCATACAGTCATGTGTAAGCAAAAATACTGTTTTTATTTTTTTTTTTCATTTTACTTGCAGGTGATGGGGTATTCTCTCCAAAATGAATTTTCATTTTGTTCAAGCTAAGGGAAAATGCCTTTGCAAAGTGAACAGGCTATATACATTTGTTCTCTGTAAATGGAGGCAAAAACTAATGTTCGTATATTTTCTTTCCAGGTCAAATATCAGGTAAATACTACTTTATGGCCACTAGATGGAACGGAGGACCATAGGAAATAAATGCTAATCTCCCTTGCTCCTCAGCTCCATCTATTGACCATAATGTGGTGCTTTCCTGATATTACATTCAACCGGGAAAGGAAAAAAGCGTATAAAAACGAATTCACACGGAACAAATGTACTGTGACTTGTTTTATAAATACACCACTATGTATATTGACTCATATGGACCACCTGGAGTCCATTATATAATAGTCATACCTTTGTAGAGTGAACTCTGCTCAGTTGCACTGGGCAAGCTTTAATTGAAAAAGGTTGTGTATGATAATGAAAACCATAAATGTTTTGGAAATCCTGCTGTTTATAAGGTGTAAAATAGATGTTGCTAAACAAGCGATTTTCACACACACATAAAGCTTAATACAAAATGAAGGGACATTATAGTAAAAATCATCTTATTGGTGTGCAGTAATGGTTAAAAACCTTGGTTCTGTGCTTGGGCAGTCCTATTTGCTCACTACATATGCAATCTACCATACAGAAATATTTTTATCTGTTTTCCCTTTATAGTTGTTTATCTGGAATGCTCACTGCTTTTACCTAATATACAGATAGCCACTAGAGGTGAGAGGTAGCAATACTTTAGAAATATGTTACAGCAAAAATCATCAAGTCATATAAAATGAACTTAAAAAACTTTACAACAATGTATTGGAATGTGTGCTATATACTGTAGTTTCCTTTTAAAGAAGGCTGTGATAGTGCACACAATCAAGTAGCCGTCTTTAACCTATCATCAATTTAGAGTTAGGAGAACAATGAAAGATGGCTGCTTATTGGCTTTTAAAGTCCAACTGAGTGGACACCGTGTACTTTCAGTCTATGCTGATGGAGCATTTGGGACGTCTATGAGGTCTAGGTTATTTTAGGATTGCCATACTATCCTGTTGTTGTTTTTAATGTCTTGCAGAGCTCATGCAGACGGAACTGCATCATATCCAGACCCTGTTCATTATGTCTGAGGTATTCAGGAAAGGGATGAAGGAGGAGCTGCAGATGGACCACAGCACAGTGGACAGAATCTTCCCCTGCCTTGATGAGCTGCTGGAAAGCCACAAGTGCTTCTTTTACAACCTGCGTGAGAGGAAACAGGAGTCAAGGGAGGGCAATGACGGAAACTTTGTCATCAACAGAATTGGAGATATCCTTGTACAGCAGGTACTGGATGTGATGTCATTCTGAGACCATGCAAACACATTTTTGTAATGTTCCTGTTAGTTTCAAATTATGTTATTCCATAGGTTGGAACACAATAATAAGGTGTCGCTGTGTATGCCACAGTTATGGGAAGGCCCAATGATTAGCTCTACTTGTTTAAGGATAAAAATGTACAGTAGACCGAGTACAGGAGCTGTGCTTCTGTTGCTCTCCAAATACAAAGTCTCCCAGTTTCCTTCCTTCCCTGCAATAGAAATATATGTGAAGTTTGAGCTACAAATTATTCCTTTTATCTGCTGCCAACTCCACTAATCATAGAAACACATGCATTGCTGTGATAATCTCATATACTGGATTTCTTTATGCTGCTATGAGTGTTGTTACAGTGGAGGGAAAATATGGAGTTACATTACCACCTTGAGATACATTTCTATCATGTGGTTTTAGTAATTCTGTGCTCATAGGTCTCGTCATGAATATTGACACCAGTGGCGGAACTAATAACCAAAGGGCCCTGGTTATCTTGGGCCCCGCCCCCCCCACAGCAGTCTCTAATGTTGCAGTAGGGTGCTGGACTTACCTGAGACCCTGCAGAGCACACCATAGATCCTGTATAGCCCACCTGAGACTCTCTATGGTGGACTCTGCAGGGTCCCAGGTGGGCTGGTCTGGTCGTTGGGATGCTGCCTCGGTACAGTTGATACCCATGTAGGAGGCCCCCCAGACCTCTCGCATGGGTACCGGCTATACCCCTCTGATGGCGGTGTTCTATCAAAGGTTGTGACTACGTTAAAATGTGTGACCGGTGACGTGGTCACACGTTTTAACGTAATCCCGCCCAGTTTTTCCGACGGTGGAATGTCCCACCAATAGGTGAAGCATTCCAGTGCTTTCCCAGCTGTTCCAGGGAAGATCGGCATCACAAATCGCATTTGCAGGAGAACCGATCTGCCCTGAAACAGCTGATCGGTCCTGAAATGTCACTTCTCTCTCTGCGATCTCACATTTCACCGCACTCACAAAGTCGCATAGAAGTGACATTTCAGGACCCATCAGCTGTTTCAGGGCAGATCGGTTCTCCTGCAAATCCGATTTGCGATGCCGATCTGCCCTGGAACAGCGGAGAAAGCGTTGGAATTCTTCACCTATTCCACCGCTGAAAAACTGGGCGAGATTACGTTAAAATGTGTGACCACGCCACTGGTCACACATTCTAACGTAGTCTCAAACTTTGATAGATCACATGCCTACCTGTAATCATTTAATCAGAGCAATAGATATTATAAAAGGGAACATTAAAGTGTAATATTCCCCATTATAATCCACTTGTCTAATTACAAGAAAAAGCATGAAATAGCTGTACACAACTACTATCCTCACCCCCCGTCGCTCGGACTTACCCAGCCAGGGAGTTTCAATGTGTGCACTGCAGGGGGCGGGGCTTGTGACACACGCCTCCTGTGACTCCCCTCCCGCCGCCTGTTACTATGTACGCGGCCGGGAGGGGAGGTGAGTCACAGGACCTGCCCCCTCACTGTGAAGCCTGTCGGCAGTGCGTGCCCCGGTGTTCGAACACCGGGACTGTGCACTGCCATATATTACAGGACCCGACCGCACTGAGGCTGTGGTGGTGCCCAGGACCGGATCCCACTGGGCCCCTCCACAGCCTCAGGCCCCGGTGCCCCGGCACTGCCTGCACCGACGGTAGTTCCGCCACTGATTGACACCGCAATGTATTTTATTTTGCCCAGATCAGCTCCCTGACGGTCAGATCTGTTAACACATCCATTGCTCTCCATCAGCTTCCTTTATTATGGCACTTTTTAAATAGTATATTTCTCTCCTCTCCCCTCTCTCTATTGCGCATGCGCCCGTACACTTCTTCCTCTCCATTTGGGAGCTTCAGCCGGGAGCGAGAGGCGCTCGAACATGTAAGTAATTAGGTATTTGTCTACTTTTTAAATTTTTTTTAATCATGAGGCATATATTTACTGCTTGCTAGCAGTAGCAGTAGATAAATGCCAACAAACGTAAGACTTTATACTTTAAACAATGACACACAATTTTTAATGACATGTCACAAATCATCATAGTTTACTGGATTTTTTAGCTTGACAGAATTACTGCCTGCTTTTGAGTCCACCTCTACCAGGAAGTAAAGTATTTCACCAGCACACCAAAGATCTTCATCTACTGCCTTTATTGGCGTTCAAACATAGTGTCAAGGAGATAGTGACATTTCAGGACCACGCAGGGTCCCTTTATCGAGCATAGAATGACATATGATGATAGTATAATTATATATAATAACACATTATATAATTATAT